CGGCGGATGAAGTAATAGTATGTCTTTGTAAAAGTCATACTAAACTAGTTTTTTACCTTAAAATTAAAATAGGATAAATGAAACATTAAAGCGTGAACATTTAGATTACAACTGAATAATTTGTTATACCTTAAAAGTTTTAAGAATAAAAGAAAATATATTATTTAGTATCAAAAAACCAGTAATTAACGTTTATTTAAAATGTATACTTCTAAATTATTTAGTTATGCAGAGCTAAAAATTTAAAGTTTTAAATTTTAATTTGTAAATTTATCCAGTATTCACGTTTTTGGGAACCCTTATTAGACATCAAAGTACAAAACTCCAGTTCGTAATAAAGCATTGCCTATTTTTCGGGGAAGGACTGCACCTAAAAAAGACAACTAATATCTGTTTTGTGAATAAAAGTAATATTTCTCCGATCTATTAAATTGCACAATAAAATTAGTTTTAATCGGTTATTTTAGAATATTTAAAATATAATTTAAGACTACTGCTATTTTTTCCACCTCAACTGTGTTTAAGTGTGTGCCTTTGGGCTACGTGTATGTGTGCATTTTGTCATTACCTGCTGTCCATATGATCAGAGATCCCAAGTCTTGTTGGCTACGGTCACGAACATTTTTCTTTTTTTTTTTTTTTTGGGGAAGGAAATGAAAAGTTGCCTTAGTCTTCGTTTTTGGTTTCTGTACTTTTTTCTTGGGTAAACTTTTGAGTGCGTTTGGGTATTTCGTAAGATCACTATACACACATATAGCATATAGCATATCGGTGTGGTATTTGTGGAGCACAGAAGAAGAAGAAGGAGAAGACAGAGCCGAGTCTCAGTCTCAAAGTTGCGTCTTCTTTCATCTTTGGTAATTGAGCGTTGAAATGTTGTAATCCCCCCAACCTACATGAAGGTGGCAAACGTGTTTAAGTTTTTTTTTTACGCAAACAGAAAAGTAGGGAGAGACAGAGACACGTTTTCTCGTGCACCGTTGAAAGTTCCCTCTTAACTGCATTTTATGCACTTTTCTTCTCCTCGATTTTTCTTTGGGTTTTCCCCCTGTGTTTATCGTTGTTCATCCTTATTTGATTTTTTATATCTACGGCATTTTTTTGTGATTCATGAATGTTGCATTTTAATGGGTGATGGGCCCTTTTTTCGTTTCTTCGTCTTTAGTTCCGTTTTTGGTTAGTTAAGGAATCGGACTTGGACTTGGGTTCGGGCCTCGGACTCTGGGGAGTGAAAGTTTATTTTGCCGACCACGTTTTATTATAGAGTAGGTAGGTATTATATGCATATATTTCATGCTCCTTTCGGCGAAATCTTATGCAATCGCTGGGGTTTCTGCTTTTTAATGGTCTCTCCATCGGAGGGCTTGCGTCCTTATTTGGGTTCGTGGAGTTGTTAAAATTTTGCCTTTCTTAATGAGTGATTTAGTCGAAGTTTTTCGGGGTACGTTAATTAGCCGTAAAATATTACGTATACGCAACGCTAATTGTTTTTTGAGAAGGTGAAGCGAGGAAGATTTGTAAAAGAGATAACAAAATAATCAGATTTAGAGTGAAATAAAACACAAAAACCTTTTAAAATGACCTGCAAAATATTATTTTTTTTTATGTAATTGTAAGTCAATAAATTAAAAAGGCACACTCAGCATAACAAATATATAATAAAACAAATAAAAATTTTAAAAATGGAACTAACTATAACCATTAAATATTAAAACAAAATGAAATAAAATTAGAAAGAATTATTTGTATTTTAAAATGTAATTGCCAAACGTTAATAATAAAATATGCATATAAAACAAAATTAAACAACTGAACGAAACAAAACAAAAAAATTCAAAGAACCAGAAAATAATGACAAATAAGCTTGACAAAAATTCCCCATAGCAACTTAATAACTGTATTTTAAATCCGAATACCCGAAAAAAAACCCAAAAGACACAATAACTTTATATTAAACCAGCTAAAAGCTAAAAAGCAATACTTATTAAATAAAAGCATGAATAGGCGAAACAATAACAAAAACATAGAAATAGGAAACGAAAACGCGCCACATGAAAACCGTGTCATGAACAAATGCAACAAAACCAGCAAAAACAACAATGAGAAACCCACAAACTAATTGAGACCAAAAGACAGACACAAAACGGAAAGAAAAAAGAAGAAACTAAACCAAGCAGCTGCAGTGGCAACAAAACCCAAAAAATGCAAAGCAAAAAAAGCGTATAAAAAACTGCTGAAGAAGAGACCCAAAAAAATTCCCAGTTTATTTGAGTGAGTAAGAAATTACAAAATAGCCACTTGAAAAGTTAAGGCTTAAAGGCTTTCATAATGCCGTTCATTTGGGTATACCCACAGCAGAGGTAAAAATTTAAACGACAAGCTTTTATAACAAATTTTAGTCTAAACTCTGTCTGTTTCTCTAAAAATTTAATTTATTTTACATTTTAGTGTGTTTTTTTTTTTTTTTTAAATAAATAAACTGTTAAAGAAATATATATATTTTTAAATTTAATTTTGTATTTTTTTTTTTAAATTTGAATATTATTGAACAATATTAAAGTTCCTTCAAAAGTAATAATGTTTTTTTTTACTTTAAATAAAAGTAAAATAAAACAAATAGTAGAATTGATTGATTTTGTAGATACTTTTATGTTTCTGAAATAGTACAAAATATCTTTAACGAATCTATTTAGAGTAAAATTTAATTTAGGGTCTTCTCTACTAGTTTTTTCGTATGACTGTGCGTCCGAAAGAATGACGCGTTGTTGTTGCACTCTACAGCGGTGTACAGTGGCTCAAAGCTACGCCAAAAAGTTTCACTTTCGCTTTCAGTTTGGGTTTGCATTTGGGTTTAAGTTTGAGTTTCAACAGCAAAAACAAAGCCCCAAAAAAAAGGGGGCCACTAAGTCAAGCCAAGCAGCGCTGCTCGCTCTCTATTTGGCAAGAGAGCAAAAGAGTGGCGGAGAGCGCAGCTTCGTTGAAAGTGAAACGAGCGTAAACCGAACGACCCACCGAGCGTATACGTAATAACCGAAATGGCCGACTGAGAGCGAGAGTGACGACGCTGGCCGGGGCGGAGACGCCGACTGCGGCAGAGGCAGCGACAGCGACGCCTGCCGAACAGCGTATTGCGGTATCCTCGCCGTTTACTTGGGTTTAGTCAATCGAGATACGTGGTTGATGTTGGTCGTGTTTTTCGCATAGCTATCCACAGAATATTATAAATACACATATATATTCAACAACACACACATGTGACAAAGCGTTACACCTAACGAAATATTGTTAACAACAAATGTGCGCGTGTGAGTGACCCAAATATCGATCAAAATAAACAAAAAGCCATTGCGAAATAGATAAAAAGGCAATCGAATTGCATGCACCAAATACAAATACAAATACAAGTAAATTGAAGTCAAATCAAATTGCACCTCACCCACACCAGCAGAACAGCCCAAGGATTATGTTCTCTTGCTGCGTTGCGTGAGTGTGTGTGCCTGTGTTCAGTGCATGTGTGCGTGTATGCAATGCAATTTGTTTAAACAACAAAATCCGATTCCCACATATAGTGCAATAAATTCGTGACCCACTTTCAATCAAAATACAAAAGTGAAAATATACTAAGAAAGCCAAAAAAGTGTTTATACATCTCGTTTCAATTTAACGCACACAATCAAGCTATATACATATTCTAAAATATATATATATAAAAAGTCCTACCTCTATCCAGGCAAACCAACCAAAAGTTTATAAACGAATCATCCTTTTTGCTGTCTACTCTACATATAAATATACATAAACATACATATATCTATCTCACTCACCTCGTCAAAGTACCTGCAAGAAAGTAATAATCTAAGCAAAAATATAAATAAATAATGAAGCAACAAAAAGAACTTCTTATAAAGAAATAATAACAATTACAAAAAAAAACCATAAAAATCACACGGGGATTTTGTTAAACCATTTTCTTGTAAAGAAAATAAATAAAACCCCTTCTTCTAAAGAACCAAACAATTCCAAAACATTTTTAAAATACCTTTCTTTTAAAGAAAGTAAAATCTAAAAAATTGTAAAGCAAATAAAACAACATTAAATTACTGTGTTAGAAGTAAATTAATTATGACAAGATATTATGATACATTTTAAATATCACTGTTAACATCAAGCAAACGCAGAACCCCGAACATTCTGTTTAACAATTGGCCTTAACAATGTTGCAAATAAAAAATCTGCAAAAATTGAGTGCAAAAACCAGACCACCGTATGTTAACCGCAACCTATTTTACTACCAAATTTAAACCGACTCACCAACGACTCAAGTGCTGGTAGTTAATTAAAAACAAAAGCGAAAAACAATTCAAACTTCCGTCCAGGAAATAAAATCGAAATCTAAAAAAAAAAACTCTTCGGCCTTTGAAGGGAAAGAGAAAGAACCGCAAACGCAACCGTTCTCGCCTTGAATTCATCCCAAATAAACTTACATGAAATGTTATTAGAAATGGATCAGCAACAGGCGACCGTACAGTTTATATCGTCGCTGAATATATCGCCGTTCAGCATGCAGCTGGAGCAGCAGCAGCAGCCCTCCAGTCCCGCCTTGGCCGCCGGTGGCAACAACAGCAACAATGCCAGCGGTAGCAACAACAACAGCGGCGGCGGCACCAGCGGCAGCAACAACACCAGCAGCAGCAGCAACAACAACAATAATAACGACAATGATGCACATGCTCTAACCAAATTCGAGCATGAGTACAATGCCTATACGCTGCAATTGGCTGGGGGCGGTGGTGGGAGTGGCGGTGGCAACCAGCAACACCACAGCAGCCACCACCAGCAACAGCAGCAGCAGCAGCAACAACAGCAGCAACATCAGCAGCAGCAGCAACAAGAACACTACCAGCAGCAACAACAGAATATTGCCAACAATGCCAATCAATTCAACTCCTCGTCCTACTCGTATATATACAATTTCGATTCACAGTATATATTTCCGACAGGCTATCAGGACACCACCTCCTCGCACTCGCAGCAAAGCGGAGGAGGCGGTGGGGGCGGCGGTGGCAACCTGCTCAATGGCAGCTCCGGCGGCAGTTCCGCCGGCGGTGGCTACATGCTCCTCCCCCAGGCGGCCAGTTCCAGTGGCAATAATAACAACCAGAATGCCGGCCACATGTCCTCCGGTTCCGTGGGCAACGGCAGCGGCGGCGGTGGCAACAATGGCGGATCGGGCGGCGGATCCGGTCCGGGAAATCCCATGGGCGGCACGAGCGCCACGCCGGGACACGGCGGCGAGGTGATCGACTTCAAGCACCTGTTCGAGGAGCTCTGCCCCGTGTGCGGCGACAAGGTGAGCGGCTACCACTACGGCCTGCTCACCTGCGAGTCCTGCAAGGGATTCTTCAAGCGCACCGTGCAGAACAAGAAGGTCTACACCTGCGTGGCGGAGCGCTCGTGCCACATCGACAAGACGCAGCGCAAGCGGTGTCCCTACTGCCGCTTCCAGAAGTGCCTCGAGGTTGGCATGAAGCTAGAGGGTGAGTCCAGAATTCTTTACTAATATATTTGAAAATATCATTTATCTTTGATGGTTGCCTATAAGGGTTTTTCTTTTGAAAGATCGGTTAGACAATAGTTTCTAGGCTACAAGATGGATAGTCTTCGAGTTCTTTTAAACAAAGTCAGGCTTCAATAGCAAATAGGACATCTTTTAAGGCAGCAACACACCCTAATATTGAAACATTGAAAACATTAAAAACAATTCCTATAATTGATTAATGATATTTGTCTGTCTACCTTTGGCGATCTAAATCGAATTGAATGTTTCTTGACAAAATTAATCTTAAATATTAACAATTATGTATTTTCTGTTTGTTTGCTTTCATTTCTTCTTTAAAGTTTATTTATTTGTAAATTTTCGTTTAACTTGTGAAATTAAAACAAATATAAAAATATTCATAATCATCATCATCATAATCATATTAATCATATCTTTATTTAAAAGATATTAACTATCAAATAATACATTAAACACAATAAAGCAAGATAAACATTTTATGTTAACAATTTTTATACGAGTTAAAAACAATCGCACCTGTTCATAAGATTCACTTGATGTATCATAACTTCATATCTTCTAGATTGTTTTAGACACCGTAAGATTCAACTCATACTATAGTCACGTATTTTCCCCTGACCCTCGACAACAATTGTTTACAACATTGCGTATGAGTGATGTCCCTGAGGAAGCAATAAAAATGTCGTTTTAAAATGTATTCAGCATTGAGAATTTCTTAAAAACAATACTCAAATAATTAGTAGCCCATTAATTGTTGCATCACAATATCAGGATGGCAGTTGATTTAGATTGCAAACCGATATTGACGTCTTGTATTCGACAAATGTAAATAGGTGAGACAAAAGAAGTAAAAATCAAAATTGATATTGTTGAAGAAAGTTAAATGCATATTGGATTAAATGTGCCGAAAATGTATTTTAGATACGGTTTGCTAAAGAACTAGACGTAGAACTTAAATGGAAGTTCCGATTTTAAACTTGCTCTTGAACAAGAAATCAATGCAATGCGTGCTTATACAATGCATTTTTATTGTATTTATTTAAATCTTTTTTCATTGTGGTTACTACAAATATTGCTTACATTACCAAATTTTGTATTAAATCTAGTTTTTTTTTAAATTGATTAACATTAAATATCTGATGAGTATGGATTTTTCTTAAATACTCAATTACTTTTACAATCCATTTATGTACTTTTAATTTCATTGCAGAAAAATAGAATTTCAAGCTCTCTCTCATAATTTCTATCGTTCTCAATTCCTTCAATCTTTTTACTGTTTTTCCTCTGACTTTGCCCACTCCTCTTCCGGTACAAAATGACATTTGTAAAGACGAAAAGCGAAATTCCGACTATTGGCAGCCTCAACCATGACCCCTTTTCCATATAATTCGTCCGTTTGTATGGGAATGCATATATTATAAAATGCCTCGTCTCTTGCTTGCAGTTTTTGGCTTTCGGTTGTGCCGCTTCTGCAGTCGAAATGAAATTAAATCGATATTTCTTATTATTTATAAATGCGCAGGAACAAAACCTACAAATGAGGCAACTTGCATTGAAATTCTTTCGGGAATTGTTTCTGCTGGAAATACGAAACTTTAAATGTTTCTGTCTCAAAGGAATTTCCACAATCTACAGAGAATTCACTTATTTAAGAACTGCTGCCGCTCGGCATTAGTAATTCAGCAAAGATTATGCAAAAGTGCATTATTGATAGCCTCTACGGGACTGTGCTCCCATTTCAGGCACATAAACAACGGCGTTAAAAATGTATTAATAAATATACATTTCTGTGGTCATATCCCAGACCTATCCCAATTATTTATTTCGCCGCCTGGCTCGTTATTTTTGTTATTATTGTTGAGTAGGTCGGTCAGTCTGCGGTTCATTTTTTCGTTGTTGTTCTTGGCTCTGTCACGTCTTAATGACGCCAGCTTTTGTCATTGTTGTCACTGCGTCAACATTTTGCCTTTTTTTATTACACAAAAGTACTGTCTCTCTTTTACCTCGTTCTCATTTACCTTTGGCTTTTTTGTGTATGTTTTCTTTTTAGCTCTGAGCTTGGAGAACGTATTCTCTGTATATCCAATGTGCATGGTATAATTTGTAACTATATGATGCATATCTGAAATCTTTAACAAAAAAATTTTGAAAAACGTGTAAAAAGAAATTCATTTATTTTATTTAATTAATATATTTTATTGCGACTTTACAACCCTAATATTTATTAAAATTTTTCTCAATATCGTTTTTATAGTTTGTTTTATTTTCTTATTTAAAATACCATACCAATGTGCATTTCTTCTATTTTTTTAAATCAGTAATAAACGTATTTTATGTACATTCAGTCAACATTTTAAACACTTTACAGAATGAATTTTTGGTAACTTAAGATATTTTCATTTTTAGCCTGACCTTTGGGATTAAGTACAGGCGCGGGTTGTATTAATTTTAACTTTGCGAACAGTTCTTCTGCTCTTTCATATTTATTTCATTATACCCTTGCAGAGGGTATTATGATTTCAGTCAGAAGTTTGCAACGCAGTGAAGGAGACGTTTCCGACCCCATAAAGTATATATATTCTTGATCAGCATCACAAGACGAGTCGATCTAGCCATGTCCGTCTGTCCGTCTGTCCGTCCGTCTGTCCGTCTGTCCATCTGTCCGTCTGTCCGTCTGTCCGTCTGTCTGTTTCTACGCAAACTAGTCTCTCAGTTTTTGAGTTATCGGGACAAAACTTTCGCAAAAGTCTTCTTTCTATTGCAGGTAGTATATATGTCGGAGCCGACCGGATCGGACAACTATATCTTATAGCTCCCATAGGAACAATCGGAAAAAAAAAACTTTAAAAAATTCTAGCTTCGGTGTTTTTGGGGATGTTATTTTTTAAATATTTCTGAATTTCGAATTATTATTTAAAAAATCGGACTACTATATCATATAGCTGCCATAGAAACGATCAGAAAATTAATGGAAAAGTAATAGGAAATAAGTTCTAGCTTCTTTGGTTTTTATTGTATTATCTTCTACTCTAGGATATGACTCTTTTTAAATATTTCCGAATTTCAATTTTAATTTAATCAAAATCGGACGACTATATCATAAAGCTGCCATAGGAACGATCGGAAAATTAATGAGAAATATTAGAAAATTGAACATTTTTGCGATTTGTTAATTAATAGGAATGATCTGCAAGGGTATATAAGCTTCGGCTGGCCGAAGCTAGCTTCCTTTCTTGTTGAAATTTAATCTCACTCCCTCTTTTATTTTTACTTCACCTTTTTACTTGCATAATTACTTTTCATCTCGCTAAAATTTTTACCTCATTTTCCTACACTTCTTTTTTGCATTTATATTTTTTTTTTTGCGTAAGCCAAGTGGGGTTTAAGGAAAAAAAATATTACAACCACACAAGTTGAGAGGGCGCTCCACTAACAAGCATGTGCAGTGAATATAGTACACAGACATGTACCGCCATATGTACTGGAATATAGGCAGCTATATATAAGACCCACATATATGGCACCAAGTGGATATATATTCAGAGTCAGTGCAGCATGCACCGGTCCCAAAAGAATTCCACGCCCTCACCCACAAAACAAGGCTCCGCTTGCGTCGCTGCCGCGAGAAAAGTGAGAGAGGAGAGCGGAAGGGGGAGGGCTGAAAGCAAAAACAAAGCTCAAAACCAAAACACAAAAAGCGGCAAACTGAAAAAGAGAGACTTGAGCTCTCTCACGTAGTTACAGTGGTTGCTTTTAAGAGTGAATACTGTGACATGTGACTATTAATTGTAAATAATTAAAACTATTATTAAATTGACGAAGAGATAACTAAATAAATAAACATGAAGAAAGCCAAAATTATTTAAATAATAATGATGTGATTTTAGAAATTGTCTATACATAAGACAACATTACCACAATTTAATTAAAACATATAAAATCAAGAACTTTGTTAATAAATACAAATAACTATATACGCATCTTTAAAGTAAGTACTTATTGAATGCGTACTACTGTAGTATATGATTGCTCTCTTTACAAAAATTGTTTGAATTTTGTAATAGTTTTTGGTTTTTCTTTTCCTGACTGACTGCTTTTGTGGACTGGATTCAAACTAGCGCAAGCAATTTTTGGTTTGCGTTTCTGTTTTTGTTTGTTACTTATCATTTGAAACGCTCACTTGCCATGCCACATGTTTTGTTGTTTGTGGGGCAGCGTCAAACAAACTCTGGAAATTATTATGCAAAGTGTGAAAAGTGTGAAAATTGTGATTGCCGGACGCCGAAATTGCTTTTGGGTGGAGTTTTCAGCCCTAAGATAAATGGTTAATGTTCATAAATGCTAAGATATGCAATTTAATGTTTTTTCGTTTATTTTTTAAACTTTTATTATTTTTATTCTTAACTAAATTTTTTAATCACTCCCTAAAGCAAAAATATTGAACTATTTTTTTAAATTGTTAACTTCAAATTTAAATATAACGATTTTTTTTTTATATCTACAATCCAATTTTTTTGTTTTAAATTAGTGAAAATATATTTTATTTTTTTGATTTGATTTGATTTTTTCGCAAGAAATATATTTGTTGATAGTATCAACATTATCAACTTGATAAAATAAAATCATCTTAATAAATGCCTTAATTTTTAACACTTAACTTAACTTTCTCTAAACAAAAATTTCAACAAAATTTGCATATTGCATCCGAAAATGTGGGATTGTCTTACTTCCGCCTTTTTCCTCTTCTTTTCCTTTTTGGTGGAAACACATGACCAACAAATATTGTCCATCAAATTTACAAGAAGTCCAACAAAATTCGTTTTTTATTTTTTATATTTTGCTGTCTTGTGGCGCTGTCTCACACACAACTACATTCACTCAAGCGGCTCTCCTCTCACCTACACAGGCAAACACTTGAGTCAGCGGGGGCAGCGCAGTCGGCAGCGACGCCAGCATTGGCAGAGGCCGCAAAAACAACGTGTGTGCAATATACTCACTCGTACGTATATCAATGTATCGCCATCTCAGTTCCGCCTTCGTGTACTTGGCCCATAGTGCCATCTCTTGCGCTCATGACCTAGATTCCAATGTGTGTTTGTGTGCGTGCACGTGATATGGCAAAATGTTTGTCTCTCTCGGTGTTTTTTATTCTGAGTGTGCGTGTGTAATCAATGCAACATGTAGTGCGCGCGGTTGTGTGTGTGAGTGAATTTTATTTTTAATACTCACTGAATTATTACGAACATTTTCGCTTTGTTGTCGTCGTTTCTCGCCGTTTGCCTCTTTTCGTTCCGTTCCGTCTCGTTCCGTCCTTCCGTTCGCCTCTGTTGAAATCTCTTTCGTCAGCGCCGCCTCCCCTCCCCCTCCGCCCACCGATTCCCCAGATACCGCCGACTATATCTCCCAGTCAGGCTTTGGCTTTGGTCTGTATAATTGCCGCAATTTTTAGCCTCTTTTGGATTTTGTGACTCGAGTTTTTTTCTTACTTCAGGGGGCTATAAAAACCAGCGAGACTTTCGGCTTAGCTGGATATTATGACTCACATGGCTCGAATGCCATATGTTTTTGCCACAGAGGTAGGGACAATAGGGATTTCTCCACCTTTGTTCACTTTAATTGAGAGTTTTTCTTCAGTTTGTTGTAAAAAATCACTTCAGGTAACACAAAATGTTTGTGATTATCTTACATATTATTTCGAATAATGAATTGAAAAACATATTGAATAATTAGGGATGTATAATAAATAAAGTACATTAATACTATCAATTGCTTTTATCTTGTTTATATTAACCGTTTATCAAATATTAAGGACCACTACGCGTATACTTTATATTACGTATACGCCTAGTTTTCTGATAACTGAAGCTCGTTGTACCTTTTACGAGTTTTGGAATAACGTTTTTGCAATCAAACTAGTTAGGATTTTTGGTTTCGTACACCAGTAGAGATATCTATAGCTTGAACTATGAACAATGTACATATCTTCAATGGCAATTGGATCGAGTTTTTTAAAATCGGCCCTATTCATTACTCATTATTTTTATTAAATGTGTACAATTGCTTTTCATTTAACTCAATATCGTTGCTGTATAGAAAGCATACATTTTTACATTTCAATATAAAAACTGTTTTTCTTGTCGTCTTTATTAATCCCACACTGCGTATACTCGATATCAGTACAAATTGGCCTATAAATCAACTGTTTTTAAAATCACAACTAACTGTGAAGTTAGCCATTAAACTAAATGAAACTAGCTGGCTACATCCGCTGACCATAGTAAGCGGAAAACTAAATTAAAAAGTTAGTCATTCGCACCAGTGACCCAAAATAGTTTTAGCTATGGCGATTAGCCTTAAAAGTAAATGCTTAAAACCAAAACGCCTACAAAAAGGGCAAGTTACAGGCCATATATTGATTTCCCGACTGGCAGGGTGAGAAAATGTCCAAAAATTCGAGGAAAGGGAAAAAGAGGAAGGGCCACAGGCTGGTAATAACTTTCAACAAACATTTTTGTCGTATACAAATTGTACCACTTAACCCCACACGAAAAGACAGCTAACAAAAAAGTTAAAAACTAAATAAAAGCCGAAATTGAAAGTGAAAAAATGTCGCTAGGAAATTATGTAAGAGCCAGCTAAAATGAAAGAAAGTACATGGATCAACAAATTAGCAGGGAAAAAGGCGAAGAGAATAATTTAACGAACTCCATAAATTCCCCATCGATTGACGGTATTTTTCTTGTCTTTATTTTACCTTGCCCAACATAAATAGACTTACACAAAGCCGGAAAAAGGAAAAGGCCATAAAAAAGCGGCTGTAAGTCGCCCACAAATACAAACAACTTTCCCAACACCCAAGAGAGTGCGAGTGAGAGTGTGTGAGAGACAGTGAGTTTTTCTTTTTGGGAGAGTTGGCAGGCAACAACAATGGCCGTGTTGTCCCAGTTTTCACACACACTGTCCTTGACCTACTCCACTCGACAGCAACAACAAAGTTGTCTAATGCGGAAAGCCTCTCAGTCTTTGACTCTTTCTCGCTCTCTTTCTGTGTGTATTTTTAGTGTGTTTGTGTGCGAGGAGAGAAATGTCGTAATAGAAAGCTCTTTCGCGTTGCCAAGCCAAAAACATAATCAAAAGAGAGAGCGCGGCAACTGCGGCATTTGAGAGCGAGATGTTGTCCTCTCCTCGAGCACGCACACAAACCCATTCAAATGCATATGTATGTTGATTATTTGTAAACAATACGCTTGACCTAAATTACTGTTACTTGTTCGCCGCACTAAAACTGCATATATCAAAATGCTCTCTCTGTATGTGAGTGTGGGTGTGTGTCGACTTGTGTTTTAATTTTTTTGCGCTTGCCTTTGGATTTGAAATGCATATTTTATGGTAGCCACCTGCCGCCCATTGCCACCACCTCGCGCTTTTTTCCTCCTTGTTGTTGTTGTTATTTGGGTGTGTGAAAACAACCCCCGACAATTGCATCTTGTAATCAACATGGCGCTAGCTGCAATCGCAATCTGTTTTTGGCTTAAGCCGCCACCCTCGCAATTCTCACTTACACGCAGAGAAATATCTATAAACTTATTATTTGGCTTTTATTAATAACGTGATCTTAATAATTACTTTTGTAATGTCTAAGAATTTAAAAAGTTTTTATCTGTCAAATAATAACCAAGAATTTAATGTTCCACATTGAATCTTACAAAAACATTATATTTTGGTTTTGCTGGTAATGACTACCACAACGAGTGCCATATATACTGTGTTTATACGATGCCGAATTCACGCTATCATTTCACGCTTTCGGCCGATTCGTGCTTGTATAAACGCCATTTCGTGAATTCGGCAACACACGAAAGTTGACTATGATTTCAGCCCAAAAGCGTGATTTGGTGATATGCAGTATGGTAACTCTGTAAAAAATGATCGACGTTGCCAGATCGCTAGAAATTGAAGGCCTTTTATAGGCTATGTCTCTAATCAGTGGTATTAAAAATTAGATATTTTTGCCGGTCCGGCATCCCTATCAGCTGAGAGTGAATAAAAGCATGAATTCTCGGCTGTCGTATAAACAGGGGTTATTTCTATTTCGCGCTTTCAAGAAATCGTGATTGCTATCGTATAAACATAGTAATAGTAAATTTTACAAGTGGTCTACAAATTAAAAGATCAGTAGAAAAAAATTTGTTAGAGTATTTTTTTGATAGGACTCGAATATGTTTAAATTTTTAACAGGAAATTTTCATTTTAAGGTGAGATGAGGAATGATTGATTTTAAATTTGACCTTTTGTAATTTTTATTTAAGGACTTGTAACGTATTTACAAAGTAAAAATGTGAAAATCCAAGATTTTGTTTCTCTGCACCCTTTACGCTCTTTTTTCGTGCTGCGCCATAAGAAGCGCATTTTTATTGCGTTTCATTTAGCGTGTTCTCACATACAAACGCACTTAAATACACATATGTATGCGCGTTGTACAGTTTTTGTTTTGATGCCTGTACAATGCGGCGTATGCGCAATATTTGTATGTAACTATATTTTCCATGTGCGTGCTTGTATGTGCGTATGCATGTGTACTGTGTAGTTGTATAGGCTGCTCGTTGTTTTTGTCAAGCACCGTTATGAGTTGGCTTTTAATGAGAAATTTGAAACGAATAGGATGTTTTCCCCGCGTTGTTGCATTCTGCAAATGCGAATTGTGGGTCAGTTAAATGGGAGATGTTGAATATAATTAAATTCGTTTAGGGCTTCAATGGAACCATTGAAAATTCTGAAGAGGCCCTAGTTGATAGAAAAGATAGTCCAATAAAAAAGTAGCGCTTTCTGAAAGGAAACTTATTTGGATAGAGCAGTAATTGTAGCTGACATAGTCTGAAGTAATTTTTTCGATTTTCGAAGTATGCATTGATGTTGGAAAACTTATTTTCACCGATTTTTATATTATTATAATTTCCATTTCTCAACTCAAATATCTAATTAGGATCAAGATCGATATTTCAAGAGACGAGAAACTAAAGTTAAAATCAAACAGAACGTTTTAAAAATGAAATTTGGGAAAAGTTTTCTCATGCTATTATTATTAAACTTAAAGGCCTACGGACTAGTTTTTACTTCATGTCTAGTAATGATCTTTGCAGCCTACAATAAGGTCTTAAGTTTTACAAAGTTTTTCAACCATCTAAAGCAGCGGTCGGCAGCGCCCTTTTAAGTGAGCATAGAGTTTTGTTCTGCCGACGCGCTGCTCTCACACGTATAACGTAGAACAGCGGTCTGCACACACACATCGATGAGCTGCCCAGTGCAAATTACTCACACAAATATAAAACAAAATGTCAGCGTATGTGTGTGCCGACCGCTGATCTAAAGACAAATAAATAGTTTTGTTACCCCAAGCCACGACATTAATATGTAAATATTTGTTTTATAGCTGTTCGAGCGGATCGGATGCGGGGTGGACGAAACAAATTCGGACCCATGTATAAACGGGATCGGGCGCGGAAGCTGCAGGTGATGCGGCAGCGGCAGTTGGCGCTGCAAGCGCTGCGCAACTCGATGGGTCCGGACATAAAGCCAACGCCGATCTCGCCGGGCTACCAGCAAGCATATCCAAATATGAACATTAAGCAGGAAATTCAAATACCTCAGGTGAGAGCTGCTTTCATGTCCTAATTATTAATCTTTTTTAGAAGTTGTTGGTTTATACTTGTTAATTTTACCTTCTGAGGTGGTTTTAAAACTGTTTTGAAATAATTACCAGGGACCGTAAATAATCATTATTTGAGATTTTTATTTTAAAAAGACTACCGTGATATTTTGTTTTAAACGTCAAAAATAACGTTCTTTTTACTCGTGTCCGCAAAGTATATGCATTTTAACAAATCTGGAAAGCAAATTAACTGTTATTTGAAAATAATTTGAAAATTAACTTATTTAATACAAATTAAATGTAACATCATTCTTAAAAATCCTGCACTTATTTAAGACTTGAAATTTGCTATAGTTAAATATGACTTAAATTAATGTAAAATCGGTATTATATTAAAGGTTAAGCAAACCTAATATTTTAATTTCAACCATTAAACGATGTTACGAGATCCACGATAAAGCCAAAAATCAAAGTACACCAAAGAATAAACTCGAGTTACTAAACGGAAAATTTTAAATTTTCCAGGTATCCTCACTCACCCAATCTCCGGATTCGTCGCCCAGCCCCATAGCGATTGCGTTGGGACAGGTGAACGCGAGCACGGGCGGTGTGATAGCCACGCCCATGAACGCCGGCAACGGCGGCAGTGGGGGCGGAGGTCTCAACGGGCCCAGTTCCGTGGGCAATGGCAATAGCAGCAACGGCAGCAGCAGCGGCAACAACAACAGCAGCGCGGGCAACGGAGCGTCCGGCGGAGGAGGAGGTGGCAACAATGCGGGCGGCGGAGGAGGAGGCACCAATTCCGTGGATGGCCTGCATCGCAACGGCGGCAATGGCAACAGCAGTTGCCACGAGGCTGGAATAGGATCTCTGCAAAACACGGCCGACTCGAAATTGTGGTATTTAGCCCAAAAGCCAGAACAGAACCCAAAGAATATCCAAACTTGTACCAAAACAAACGACAAACGAAGTCAAAACAGATTTCAAAGCAAACTTTCGATATTTTACCCTATTTGTGGAAAAGGATTCAACATGATCATGCAGCATATGTGGAAAAGGGCAGTCTTGTGATCTATATTTATTATAATTTTTAGTAGATATTGGATTCTTATTGTTTTTGTCAAATCTTGTTGGAGATATTTGTTAATGAGTAATTTAAAATGGTTAAAGATTTTGTAAAGAATTTACCAAGAAGGGGTTCTCTATAAAAACAATAACAACAATTTCTGTGTTATCTTAATATTTACTAAAATTTTGAAGTAAAAATCAAATTGGCTGCGATTTTCTGAATTTCGAAAGATGTAAAGTAATGCAATGTTAAACGTATTATTCTCAAGCTGCCCTTTAACGTATTGCTTAGTTGTCACTTGATGAGCTATCCAACAAAGAGCCACCTGAATTTTTATTAATTATATATTTTTTATATCTTTTATCTAAAATAAAAGCTTTGATTCTGGCACACATCCATCGAGCACAGCTGACGCGCTAATCGAGCCATTAAGGTGGGCTATTTTGATACGGTTAAAAGTCTTCAATTATATTAAATCGCATTATTATTCTTGCAGAGTCTCACCGATGATTCGTGAATTTGTGCAATCGATCGACGATCGGGAATGGCAGACGCAACTCTTTGCCCTGCTGCAGAAGCAAACCTACAACCAAGTGGAGGTTGATCTCTTCGAGCTGATGTGCAAAGTGCTCGACCAGAACTTATTCTCGCAAGTGGACTGGGCACGAAACACCGTCTTCTTCAAGGATCTGAAGGTATGGGCCACTTTAAGGCATTGGGGTTGCCTCAATACCCCGATATCCCCACATCGAGAAAATCAGAAAACACGGACAGCAACAGCAACATGGTTCAAAGCCAGAAACCAGTTTTCAAGCTAGGGGCCAAGTCTGCGGCATGTTATGTAAACCACCGACAACAACTGACAGCGACGTCGACAGCGACGCCAGCAGAATCTGCATTGAATTTCGATTTCATTTGGCGTCTGACCTACTTAGCCAGCAAAGCTGAACCAGTCAGTCAGCCAAGCAGCAGCGTCTCTCGCTCAGTGACGCAACTGATGTGCTCACTCATACCAGCCCATGCCAGCCAAGAGCGGAGAATCGGAGACTGAGAAACTGAGAGACAGAAACGGAGAAACCCAGAGACCGAGAGCATCCCTGAGAGAAAGAGAGGGCGTGTTGTAATACCAGACCATCCAAAACTAGGCCTTAGCATATCTTTATACCATATCATCATTCAAAACGTATCTATTGATCTAAATGCGTACGGTTGCCGGTTAAAAAGAAGGAAGATCCATTACTAATACCTATGAAAATATTACTTTTTTAGATTCATATTTCAAAAAATAATTTTTTTTTGTTATTATTTAAAATTAATTAGCCCCTATTAATAATTTTATGAAACTGAAACTTGAAAAAGATTATTAAATTTTATAATTTTTAAAAGGATAATTAATTTTATATTTTTATTTATGTTTTTTTTTTATTTATTTTATTTTTTTAAATCAATTTAGTAATTTTTTATATATATTATTTTCTTTTCTCAGTTTCAATTACTGATCGAATCTTACAATATCACTAACAACATTATCTTTATTCTTAGTGGAAACCGTACTTATTAGTCCCTCTTAGCCACTTTTGTATTCTCCATTTATTGATACAAATTTTTTTATTTTTTAATTTTTCTTTTAAATCCAGGTCGACGACCAAATGAAGCTGCTGCAGCATTCCTGGTCGGACATGCTGGTTCTGGATCACCTGCATCATCGAATCCACAACGGCCTGCCCGATGAGACGCAACTGAACAATGGCCAGGTCTTCAATCTGATGAGCCTGGGATTGTTGGGCGTGCCACAGCTGGGCGACTACTTCAACGAGCTGCAGAATAAGCTGCAGGATCTGAAATTCGATATGGGCGACTATGTCTGCATGAAATTCCTAATCCTGTTGAATCCAAGTAAGGCCGTATAAGTTTCCTGGCACAGATTGGCAACCTTCTTAAACCCTGAATAAATATTTATAGATGTACGGGGTATTGTCAACCGGAAGACCGTCTCCGAGGGACATGATAATGTGCAAGCAGCTCTGCTGGACTACACCCTCACCTGCTATCCGTCAGTCAATGTGAGTAAAGGATCAGTTAGTCTTCTTATTTTCTTGCGTTGATTTTAAATATTAGGGTTTTGGAAAACCTTTGTATCATTGCTTTAAACGAAACTAAAAATGTTTTCTTTTCGGCTTCTTGCAGGACAAATTCAGTAGGCTAGTGAACATCTTACCGGAAATCCATGCCATGGCCGCTCGCGGCGAGGAGCACCTGTACACCAAGCACTGTGCCGGCAGTGCGCCCACCCAAACGCTGCTCATGGAGATGCTGCACGCCAAGCGCAAGGTGTAGAGGCCGGGGGAACGTGACACGGAATACTTAATCATTTATGAAATGTAAATAACAAGGCGGGGAGTCCCCAGGGCAGCCAGGATATGGAAGGCGAACGGAGGATACAGAATTCCGTATTATGAATATGGAATGCATCATCACTACTACCACCAACACCACCAACTATCACACCTATACACACACATGCACACATTTGTTGATTCAATGTTAATTATTATTACGTTTACGGTTAGGCCTAGTTTACGATTAACTAATTAATTAATTTGTCTTAAATTAATTCGTGTTTTATTTGTAGTCCTGATAAAGCAATTTTTAAAAGAGAACCTAAACGTATATTTGTAGATGTATGGATATAAATGTTAATAAGGCAAGAAGAACCCAAATTTCTTTAGGCATTACAAAAAAAAAAAACGAAAGAAGCATGAGAAATTTTATTTTTATATACCTATATGAATACGATACTTATGGATACAAATCTATATATATTTTTATGTAAATTGGCGTACATTTAAGCGTCCTACAACTTTTTAATTAGAATTTGGTTTTACTATAGTTATTTTCAAATTATTCTTGTTTCCACTAGCAGATCGAATCTTGTATTTTTTGCGCCAAGTGTCTTGCATAGTATTTGCGTCTAATCTAATGGCAACAGAAAAAAAAACGGAAAATCCATACAAAGAAAATGAAAACAAAGCAAATTTAGGTGTTCATGGTATGAATGTATGTGTATATTATAGTTGTAATTTCATCTAAGTGTAAGAAAACAATGCAAACAACTACCTACAACAAGATAATGAAGAGCAAGAAATTATATAAATTAATAAAGATCGTGTTAAAAACTATATAGTAAATATATACTTACATGTATATTTAAATTTAGCTGTTTCAACTATTTGTAAATTTCAACCAAGATGTAATTGTTTCAATGTCAGCAACCAGAAAGTGTAAAGCTTATAATTAAAATACAAAGTATATTTTGTGCAAGGAAAATTATAACTCAGCTAAAGGGTAAACAACAATTCTAAAAAATAAGCTATATAACACTCTAAAACTAAAAGTAAAAGATGCTTAGTCATGAATTGGGGCAATGAGACGGAAAATAAATCGAATTAAAGAAAAAACGAGAATATTGTAAAAATCAAAAATCGAAATAAACAAACCAAATAAAATATATTTAATAAAATTGGATCTACTTTTAATTCGAATATTATGTTACCTGGAATATGTTTTGTATGTTATTAAGATGTTTATTTTATTACTCAGAATTCCTTAAATTTTTCTTCATTTCGTGTGAATCGAATCATTGCCTTAATTCCTGTCTAGGCATTGCGCTTAAACAAAACGTACCTTATAAAATTAAACAAGTATAAACTCCAGATTCAGTAAACAGAAACAAATTACACCACACATTTCAAATTTAAAGGCAGCGTGTATAAAAGAAAACAAAAGTCGTTAAAAGATGTGTAAAAAATTTAAGATTGCAGAAATTTCATGAAAACGATTGAAAAGATCAGTAGGGGGGTCAAGAAATACAAAATCGAAAGCACGACGACACATCTAAATAGGTTTGTCTAGGTATAAAATATATATTTAGGTCTCTAGTTGGTATGTATAACTTCTGTATGTATTATAAAATGTAAAAAAGAATACAAAAATATGGGTACATAATGTAAAAGTTGACAAGATAGTGGATGGTTATATTTAATGATGATAAGTAAAGGGCAAATTGTTGACGTCTAACGTAACGCTGGCGGCATGTTGTTGAAAACACGTTAATGGAAGGGAAGAGAAAGGGGGATCGATATACACATACAAATATATAAATGTTTATTCAGGTATGAATGGCGTTAGGTATGTTTATTGTAAAATTGATTACGATGTGAACCTGTTATTGCAAATGAAAAGTGATTTTAACTATTAAGAAAATCTATATATATACTATAAACCCATAAAAAATAAAAAAAGGATCTAACAGTTATACATTTAATGATTAATATAAATGCAAGCAACACACACATTTTAAGTTTGAAAAACTGTTAAAAATGCAAAAAAAAATCATTTAACTAGAAACAAAACTACCTAAAACTACAATGCATATTTGATCAATTGATTTAATATGCTTTATTATTATGTTAACATACAATTTCATCTCAGAGATGTTTCAAACATGCAACCAACAACAACAAAAGCAAAGTGAAATAAAAAGTAATTATAAAAACGAATCCAAGGTGTCCATGTGTTTAGCTGTTTGCCCAAATCTTTATTTGATTATTGGTTCACAAACTTCCGTTTAATGAGTTATATTTTATTGCGTCAATAGTGAAAAGCATGGCGGGTCCTAAGACATGTTGAAGTTCTGCGTAAAATCGTACTCGATGGTTGGTATGACGGTCTGAACGAATTTCAGGAATATGATCAAGTATAAATGCACTCCCAGCTGACCGCCGCCCTCCTCCACCGTCTGGATGATCTTCTTCATAATATCTGCATGCCGACACGGATGCACCGAGGCCATGTTCGGGCCCGGGAGGTGCGGATGCGACTCCATGGTGACCGTTTTCTTGGCGTGATCCTGCGAGACATCCTCGTACATCTGCTCCACGGTCAGCGGCTTGCGCTGCTCGTCATAGCCCACCACCCAAAGGCGTGGCGTTTGATAGTACTTGTCATAGCTTATGTGCAGGTCATAGGTGCGTGTGTGCAGCACTGAGTCACCGCTGGCCTCCGCCCCAGATGCGGTTGCCACTGGGCTAGCCTTGTCCTCCGTCTCCGGCTTGCGCGTGGTGGTCGCCACGGCCGGGTCGACCAGCTCCAGCATGCCGCTCTCCTCGAAATCGTCCATGTCAATGGCCTCGTCGTCGTCCTCGTCCTCAGCCTCGGCTCCTCCAGCACCTGGGGCTGATTTGTCGCTATCTGGAGTGTGCATTTCATCCTGTAAGATAGAATTGATCGATTAGTTTAAACTTTAAAACGTTTAGATACATAGAATGAATATATGGGCAATTCTCTGGGGATGGCAACCAAGCCAACAAGCGTAAAACTTAAAAAAAACATATTTCTATATGTTTTTGCACTGATATTTGATTCTAGTTGGATGGATCCTCAACTAAGCTGAGTAATTTGAGTATCCTTGGATAATTTTTCAGGACAATACCTGTTATATACAAAAGTAATTTGTTGGTATTTTTGTGAAATTTTTTAAAGTGGGTCTTAAACGGGTCATGTTACTTCGATGCCAATAAAAAATTAACCACTCAATATTTTGAATTCAAACCAAATACATTTTAAAGAAGAAAGAACAAGGAACACTATGAAATTAACTGCATTAAAATAATCCTTCACGTTTCGTTACAATCGAAAGTTAAGCAGGAAGTACAAAAAGTCACTTCTATTGGTGTCGCGTGCAAAAGTCTTGGTTTTTTTTATATATCTTAAAAACGAAAAATGTCCTAAAATCAGCCCTAGCACATATTTTTTATAAACTTCATTAGATTGAACTTCTCAATCTCGAATTCTATTGGGCCTTTTCTGATTTTTACTTTCGATAAAAGTTAGATTAACTCTTTTTACAAATTCCGAGATCTTATAGCACTTTTAGCTTCATTTTGCCCTGTACCTTTGTCTCCTCCATTGTCAATTCGCAGATCTTGTCCTCCAGCTGGGTGGTGCCGTCGTCGTTCAGCTGATGGGTCTCCACCCACCCACCGTCGCCGGACTCCTCCTCCACTAGCGTCTCCTCGCCGACGTATTCCATCTGCTTGCAGCGACGATAGCACGGCACATTGCGCGTTATCAGGAATTGCTTATCTAAGTGGGGCCAAATGATTTTAATGAGTAAATTGACCAGTTATTAATGGCAAATCGCAGCACTTACCCTTGGGAAGGTAGGGTTTTGTCTTGGTCTCGTCGCCGGCGGCCCACTGCCAGGTGGGACAATGGTGCACCAGGTGATCTCCGGCGGCCACAAACTCCTCCGGCGTAAGAACGCCCGTCTCGCGGAACTTGGATTCCTGAAAGGAAGGGATTTATGATTTATACAGATTTTGATTGGGTGTGATTGTTGTGGGTTTCCTGGAAATCGCTTAAACCAAAGGACCCCTTTCAAAATAATACTAGAAATCGTTTTCTAAAAAGATTTGAAGCCGAGATCTTATATACAGCAAAAGATCTTTTTAATTTTGTGATATCATCGAATTTGTTAAAACATCGCCTATACATTTTGGGACACCCTGGGGTAATTAATTTGTAGACAGTCTGGCGGTAAATCCAGTTTTATAGCCTCAAGGGGGAGTTAACAGAGGCATCGGAAAATGGGGAAATCAATAGTTGAGCGTAGAAAAACCTTATCTTTCCCGGATTTCTTTGTTATGAATCTGCCGCGTATATATACACCCCCATTTCATACGTATTTTTATACATATTTGATCGTTTTAATAGTCAGTTTTCCATCTACTTGGCACTTTTTACCTTCAAAACAGGCGTTAGATATTCAGCCACATTGAGCGCCGTTCCTTTGACGGTGTTAAGAACACTTTGCATTTTGTTGTCCCGCTGAGTATTCGCACTAATCTAAACGCTTAAACTTAGTAAATACAATTACGATGGCTCTCTCAATTGACTTGCAGCTAATTGTTTTTGTCTCGCCAGTCGCGACAACAACAGTGCAGTGCGGTCACACTAGGTCAATCGATGTGGGTGGGCCTATCGATAGATTTTAGAGAAATTCAATATATTTCAAATTCATAAATGTTTTTTTTTATTTCTTTTAAAATTAAAAACTTTATATGATTTAAAAAAAATAATTTTATAATTTGTTAATATTTTTGTACACCTTATGTATAATTTGGTATATTCAGAAGCTCAGGTCACACTGTCCAGATTCGCGCACATTGTTTTTAACGTTTTTAACGCGACGAAATGGAGGAAAAGGTTCAACCGAAATTCGTATTACCGTCCCCTAAATTCGACAAGCCCAATGGCGCTGGCAAGGCGAATCACCTTTACCTGACGCCCAGTGGGATGACCCTGCTGCCGAGGGCCAAGCAACCGCCGCCCATGTATGGCGCACGAGGATCAACAGTGCCCGCTAAATATCTGGCCCAGGAGAATGTGAGTTCGCCTACCTTTTTGATCGGTGGTATTACCTCTTAATCCTTAGTTTATAACGCAGAGCAGTCCTGCAAGTGAGAGCCCAGAGACCCCACCAATCTATAACTCTCCCCCGCGGTCGGAGTTCTGCCACACATGTGACATGGAGCTGGCCAATTCCCAGGACATGAGACGCCACCTGGAGCAACACGAGTCCTGTCCCGCCGATGACTGCGACTTTGCTGCCCTGCACAATGTCCTGGAACGCCATATTGAAGCTAATCACATCACGGGCGCTTACAAAAGGGTGAAGAAGGTGTGGACGGAAGAGGAACTGGCTGCTTGGAGGGCAGAAAGGAGAAAGAGGTACTTAAACTTAGTGCCTAATTTTTAGTTTATCCTTGTAATAACCCACACCCATTTCAGATTTCCCACTGCGGCGAATGTTGAGCTGGCCAGATTGGCCAAGGAACAGAGAATCAAGCGAGGAGAACGTCTGGAGGCCTCTAAATCCCGCTTTGGAAACCGGGAAGATCGCCAAAGGACGCGACCCAAAGGAGATCACAAGGAGCGTTTAGATCCGAGAAACAAGAGGAAAAGGGGAGTCAAAGGAAAATCCGCTGAAAAGAAGAAAAAGGAAGAAAGCAAAATCCAAACTAGAGAGTCAAAGGAATCAAAAGAAATCGTAACTCAGTCTCCTATCTTAAATAAGGAAGCTGATCAAACAAATGAGGAATCCAACTTGTGCTCCATAGAAAGTGCCAAATTCTGTGGAACAGGATCGATGACGGACTACCAACACTTCAAGCCAAAAGTTCAAAAGAAGGATAATGTTCTTTTTGGCCTGCTTGGGATGTATGGATCAGATAGTGAAGAAGAAAGTGAATCAGAGTCTGAAGTTCAGGATCGGAACGAAAAACCGGAGGATATACGAGCCACTGAACAATTTGGTAGCCGTAAAATAGAACCTCTTGAGTGCACAGAAAAGGGTCCAACTGAAGATGATCTAACCCAAAAGTTAGAACCCAATATTGCCATAGAATGCTTAAGACCTGAGGCTTCTCAAGTGGATTCAAATAAGGATATGGAAACCAGTGAGAATCCAACACTAACTTTGGAAAATACCCCCTTGGATGACACCTCCCAGGAAGATCACATAATCGAATCCACCTTAGATTTAGTTCCTTCAACTAGGGAAGATGCTTGCTCTTCCGATGAAGCACCAGACGAAGAGCCCTTCCAGCGAGTAACTGAAACTATAAGAGAACCAACTCCCCCGAAAGCTGAACCTAAAGAATGCAAGCCCAAAACTGCACCCAAGCGAGCTGCTCCTAAGCGATTGTATGGCTTAAACTACAAGAAGGTTCGCAAGCAAACCCAGCAGAACACCATGTTATCCAAACTTCTAGAAGCTGATATACGACATGAGCGAAATGTCCTGCTGCAGTGCGTGCGACATGTATGCGAAAGGAATTTCTTTGGCATTGGACAAAATAAAGATGAAAAAGATAAAGAGAAGCTGGTTCCCATTTGTGATAAATCACCCGATGCATTATAACTATTAGCTACTAAGATAAGTAAATAAAGTACAAATTTAAGATTTCGTAGCCTGCTTAAGACTTTGCATATTAAACAAATATGTCCCATAAATCTCTAGAGACTTATTGAAGCACTGCGTTTACGAACAAGGTGAAACTTCATCAAAAGAAATTCGTAATTATGCTTTTAAAAAATCATGTTTTTAAGGGATCATTTAATTAGACTTAAATGCTCCAAAGCTTTTGCGCCGATCGACTTGAATATGCTCTTGAAATGCTATTTATTCGGTTTAAAAAATGGAAACCCTTACCCTTAAACTTAGCCCCGGATTAGTTGGTGGACATGGAGGAGTCGCCGCCCATGGGATGATCACCTCCACTCGTGTTTCCACCGCCCGCCTGTTGTTGCTGTGCCGCCTGTTGCATTTGTTGTTGCTGCTGCTGCTGTTGTTGTTGCTGCTGCTGTTGCTGGGCGGCGGCATGCTCCTGCTGGCGCTTCAGCTGCTGACGGGCGGCATGTGAGTGCTTGGCCTTCGTCTCCTCCAGTTCCCGAACTCTGGATCTCGCGTGCTGGATGCGGTGCCAGGCCATTTGGAGCACCTTGGCGGACGCATAGCCGGAACCCTCGTGCGGCTGACCGGTGGACACCTGGGTCAAGTAGTTGATCTGCTCGGAAAGCTTCGATTCCACGCTGGACAGGCTCTTGAGGAACTGCTGCGACTGAGTTTCGGCATTTTTCTGCGACGACTTTTCCTTGCCCAACTCCTGCAGGGCTTGTCCTGTAAAACACATATGTCATTGCCTCTTTGGTGAGATTCTAGTCTATTCACTAACCGGCACTCTGCATGCACAGGATAATCTCCTTTTCGATCTCATCCAGAGCGTGTATTTTGTCCAGCGGATTCATCTTGTTTTGCAGTTGTAAACAAAAAATTAGAGATGTCAAACTATCGATGGCACTCTTTATGTTATCGATTATGGTATCCGCCACTACAATTGCAACAGCGAAAAAGTGGTTGCAACCTCGTTGAACAGACTGCCGCTGTTGCAAGTTTTGAAAATGAATTTAAAAATTTAATTATAAAATATTGATCGATTAAATTTTTAAAAAATTTTGGTGAAACAAGAGAGCAGGATCGAGTGCCTCTACTATCAGCTGCAAGGATTTATAAACTATCTTGGTTCATTGTTCAATATTAAATTTTCATTATCGAATGATACAAAGTATACGTTCCAAATTTACCATGTGGATCGGCCGAATTTATGAGCAATTTTTTATAGCTAAATAGCAATTGATTGATTTGTTTAATTTAATTCAGTGCAAGTCCCAAATGTTATGATCCTGTCCCAAATGTTATGATCCTGTTTAAGGACCTGTGTGGTTTTCGCGCTTTTCGCCGGCTAGCTCAAGTCCGGGCCGTGAGTCCCCGAACCCTGCCCACCGCACACATAACAATAAAAGTAACGCTGACCCTCTAACAGAAAATCAACGTTACACAACACAGTAAACTGCACGTTTGCAGCTGCCCAGTCGGAAGTGGAACGCATCCAGAGGGATGATGGATAGCATCCAAAGCACCGATACATGCGTGCCCGAACGATGAACTTCTCGCTTCCTTTTTACAGCAAAGCGGGACAAAATGGGTGCTATCCGATGAAGCGCTCCTGGAGCGCTCCCCTTTCACGTATCGGCCATGGGTTTCAACTTCGGGAAACGTTCGGGATTGGTTTCCATTTTTCCCTTCCAAAAGATGCGATCCAGAACGCATCTTTTGGAATGCTTCTGAATGCGTTCTGGATGCATTCCAAAAGATGCGTTCTGGATCGCATCTTTTGGAGTGCTTTAAAATGCGGCTTTTACGAGTGAAAAAAATTGGTGTACTTGATTTTTTTAAATTTCACATTTCATTCTTTAATTTTCTTTTGTAATTTAAATTAATTAATAAAAAAATTAATACAATTACATTAAGCCTACTGCTTTTCATCATCCTCAGTATCGTCTTCCATCTCGTTGTCCTTGTCCGGTCCTTTATCTGCACTGGTGGTCGCCTTTTTCCGTGTAGACTCCTTATACACCTGGTTTTTTTGCCGAGTAAAGGCTGTTCGCAGGTCTTTAACAAAGTCCTCCTGCCTATACCCTTCCCTCTTCTAAGATTCTGCAAAATATAGAGTTTTAAAATTTTGTTAGACGAAATTGCCAAATTAACATCAACAATCTTTAACACTTACCGTACAAGAGCTTCGGAGCAGTCACAAAATGCTCCAGTCGCAAAATGCTCCAGTAACAAAATGCTCCAGTCGCAGAATGCTCCAGTTACCAAAATGCTCCAGTCACAAAATGCTCCAGTCACAAAATGCTCCAGTCACAAAATGCTCCAGTCACAAAATGCTCCAGTCGCAAAATGCTCCAGTCGCAAAATGCTCCAGTCACAAAATGCTCCAGTCACAAAATGCTCCAGTCGCAAAATGCTCCAGTCGCAAAATGCTCCAGTCGCAGAATGCTCCAGTCGCAGAATGCTCCAGTCACAAAATGCTCCAGTCACAAAATGCTCCAGTCACAAAATGCTCCAGTCACAAAATGCTCCAGTCACAAAATGTTCCAGTCGCAAAATGTTCCAGTCGCAAAATGCTCCAGTCGCAAAATGCTCCAGTCGCAGAATGCTCCAGTTACCAAAATGCTCCAGTCACAAAATGCTCCAGTCGCAAAATGCTCCAGTCGCAAAATGCTCCAGTCGCAAAATGCTCCAGTCGCAAAATGCTCCAGTCGCAAAATGCTCCAGTCGCAGAATGCTCCAGTTACCAAAATGCTCCAGTCACAAAATGCTCCAGTCACAAAATGCTCCAGTCACAAAATGCTCCAGTCACAAAATGCTCCAGTCACAAAATGCTCCAGTCACAAAATGCTCCAGTCGCAAAATGCTCCAGTCGCAAAATGCTCCAGTCGCAAAATGCTCCAGTCGCAAAATGCTCCAGTCACAAAATGCTCCAGTCGCAAAATGCTCCAGTCGCAAAATGCTCCAGTCGCAAAATGCTCCAGTCGCAGAATGCTCCAGTCGCAGAATGCTCCAGTCACAAAATGCTCCAGTCACAAAATGCTCCAGTCACAAAATGCTCCAGTCACAAAATGCTCCAGTCACAAAATGCTCCAGTCGCAAAATGCTCCAGTCGCAAAATGCTCCAGTCGCAGAATGCTCCAGTCGCAGAATGCTCCAGTCACAAAATGCTCCAGTCACAAAATGCTCCAGTCACAAAATGCTCCAGTCACAAAATGCTCCAGTCACAAAATGTTCCAGTCGCAAAATGCTCCAGTCGCAAAATGCTCCAGTCGCAGAATGCTCCAGTTACCAAAATGCTCCAGTCACAAAATGCTCCAGTCGCAAAATGCTCCAGTCGCAGAATGCTCCAGTTACCAAAATGCTCCAGTTACCAAAATGCTCCAGTCACAAAATGCTCCAGTCGCAAAATGCTCCAGTCGCAAAATGCTCCAGTCGCAAAATGCTCCAGTCACAAAATGCTCCAGTCGCAAAATGCTCCAGTCGCAAAATGCTCCAGTCGCAAAATGCTCCAGTCGCAGAATGCTCCAGTCACAAAATGCTCCAGTCACAAAATGCTCCAGTCACAAAATGCTCCAGTCACAAAATGCTCCAGTCACAAAATGCTCCAGTCACAAAATGTTCCAGTCGCAAAATGCTCCAGTCGCAGAATGCTCCAGTTACCAAAATGCTCCAGTCACAAAATGCTCCAGTCGCAAAATGCTCCAGTCGCAAAATGCTCCAGTCACAAAATGCTCCAGTCACAAAATGCTCCAGTCACAAAATGCTCCAGTCGCAAAATGCTCCAGTCGCAAAATGCTCCAGTCACAAAATGCTCCAGTCGCAAAATGCTCCAGTCGCAAAATGCTCCAGTCGCAAAATGCTCCAGTCGCAGAATGCTCCAGTCGCAGAATGCTCCAGTCACAAAATGCTCCAGTCACAAAATGCTCCAGTCACAAAATGCTCCAGTCACAAAATGCTCCAGTCACAAAATGTTCCAGTCGCAAAATGCTCCAGTCGCAAAATGCTCCAGTCGCAGAATGCTCCAGTTACCAAAATGCTCCAGTCACAAAATGCTCCAGTCGCAAAATGCTCCAGTCGCAAAATGCTCCAGTCGCAAAATGCTCCAGTCGCAGAATGCTCCAGTCGCAGAATGCTCCAGTCACAAAATGCTCCAGTCACAAAATGCTCCAGTCACAAAATGCTCCAGTCACAAAATGCTCCAGTCACAAAATGTTCCAGTCGCAAAATGCTCCAGTCGCAAAATGCTCCAGTCGCAGAATGCTCCAGTTACCAAAATGCTCCAGTCACAAAATGCTCCAGTCGCAAAATGCTCCAGTCGCAGAATGCTCCAGTTACCAAAATGCTCCAGTTACCAAAATGCTCCAGTTACCAAAATGCTCCAGTCACAAAATGCTCCAGTCACAAAATGCTCCAGTTACCAAAATGCTCCAGTCACAAAATGCTCCAGTCGCAGAATGCTCCAGTCGCAGAATGCTCCAGTCGCAGAATGCTCCAGTCGCAGAATGCTCCAGTCGCAGAATGCTCCAGTCACAAAATGCTCCAGTCACAAAATGCTCCAGTCACAAAATGCTCCAGTCACAAAATGCTCCAGTCACAAAATGCTCCAGTCGCAAAATGCTCCAGTCGCAAAATGCTCCAGTCACAAAATGCTCCAGTCACAAAATGCTCCAGTCGCAAAATGCTCCAGTCGCAGAATGCTCCAGTTACCAAAATGCTCCAGTTACCAAAATGCTCCAGTCACAAAATGCTCCAGTCACAAAATGCTCCAGTCGCAGAATGCTCCAGTCACAAAATGCTCCAGTTACCAAAATGCTCCAGTTACCAAAATGCTCCAGTTACCAAAATGCTCCAGTCACAAAATGCTCCAGTCGCAAAATGCTCCAGTCGCAAAATGCTCCAGTCGCAAAATGCTCCAGTCGCAAAATGCTCCAGTCGCAAAATGCTCCAGTCGCAAAATGCTCCATTCACAAAATGCTCCAGTCACAAAATGCTCCAGTCACAAAATGCTCCAGTCGCAAAATGCTCCAGTCGCAGAATGCTCCAGTTACCAAAATGCTCCAGTTACCAAAATGCTCCAGTCACAAAATGCTCCAGTCGCAGAATGCTCCAGTCACAAAATGCTCCAGTAACAAAATGCTCCAGTCGCAAAATGCTCCAGTCGCAAAATGCTCCAGTCGCAAAATGCTCCAGTCGCAGAATGCTCCAGTCACAAAATGCTCCAGTTACCAAAATGCTCCAGTCAGAAAATGCTCCAGTCGCAAAATGCTCCAGTCGCAAAATGCTCCAGTCGCAAAATGCTCCAGTCGCAAAATGCTCCAGTCGCAAAATGCTCCAGTCGCAAAATGCTCCAGTCGCAAAATGCTCCAGTCGCAAAATGCTCCAGTCGCGAAATGCTCCAGTCGCGAAATGCTCCAGTCGCGAAATGCTCCAGTCGCAAAATGCTCCAGTTACCAAAATGCTCCAGTCACAAAATGCTCCAGTCACAAAATGCTCCAGTCGCAGAATGCTCCAGTTACCAAAATGCTCCAGTTACCAAAATGCTCCAGTCACAAAAAGCTCCAGTCACAAAATGCTCCAGTCACAAAATGCTCCAGTCACAGAATGCTCCAGTCACAGAATGCTCCAGTCACAGAATGCTCCAGTCACAAAATGCTCCAGTCGCAAAATGCTCCAGTCGCAAAATGCTCCAGTCGCGAAATGCTCCAGTCGCGAAATGCTCCAGTCGCAAAATGCTCCAGTTACCAAAATGCTCCAGTCACAAAATGCTCCAGTCACAAAATGCTCCAGTCACAAAATGCTCCAGTCGCAGAATGCTCCAGTTACCAAAATGCTCCAGTCACAAAATGCTCCAGTAACAAAATGCTCCAGTCGCAAAATGCTCCAGTCGCAAAAT